AAAATGATAGAAAATTTTAATGATTATGCAGAACGAAAAGTGAAAAATGAGTTTAAATATCTCAAAGATTCCATTATAGATCTGAGATACGGAATGCGTATGTTCCATAAAAAGCTAAAGAATATTGTTGAACAATGTCAGTATATATATTTAGATAATTATGATTATAATAGTGATACATCTGATTCAAATTGTTCTGATATTTTACCTAATGTTGTTTCAGTAAAAAAGATACATAAGTCTAAAGACCTCGGCTCTATCCATTCTAAACCTAAAAAGAAGTGAAATAAGAACAAGGTATATAATTGTATAAAGGTACGTAAAGTAGCCTCGACACATAAATTGATTGTATAATAAACCACGATCACGATTATCCAATTTTTTATTCATATATTTGAGATAACGTGAATGCAGAGAAATAAACACTTTACAGATTAGATCCACATGTTTTTGTGTAATCCAATTTCTCACATATACCCTCATTCATTATTTTTTGATTAATTTTTATGACTCAGAGAGTTGCTCATTGGAGCTGTTTTTTACTGATCATAAATTTCACTAAGAATAAACTAATTTACCTATCTTTGTACTGTTTCGGAGGTAATGCCAATTCGAGTTGAGTTGTAATAACGGAGTTAGTGTCTAAGACACATAATTTCGAGATATATGAATGGGTATATAGCTGATATGAGGTGAGAAAAGATGAGTGTTTTCGGAAATTTATATGAGTTATGTCTACCAATATTTCATGCTTCGAAACTTTTGCCTTAAATATTCTTAAAGATTCATTTTCGGAAAAAATTGCAAGCAATATTAATATTCTCAAACTAGATCCATGCTCGTTATGCAATTAAGAACTTTTTTTGTTTGAAATAAAAAACTCAATTACCATACTGATCTGTGACCATATATATCATCGTGATTGTATCAAAACTTTTATCAAGAAACGTTCAATATGTCCAAAGCCCAATTGAAGAAGGAGGTAGAATCTACGGTTGACAACATGCCTGGAAGTTAGAATATTAATGATTTGATGAATATATCTCCGTCATTATTTACTGACCTCCTCTTCTCAAGTCCGTCTAAAAAGCGTGTTAATGAATCTATCAGCAAATCATCTAGTAAGAAAGTGAAGGTAAAAAATGAAGATAAATCCATGTTAAAAAAACTTATCAAGGAGTTATCATCACCAAGTTCTTCAAGTATCACCTCTTTGCAAACAGTCACGAGCTCACACTGGTCGAAATAGGGAATATCGGACACCTATCGTATGCCTATCGGAAGTCCGATAGGTATACGATAGGTGTCCGATATCAACAATTATGTAATATATCGGGTACCCGATTGGTGGGGTCAAAATGCAGAAGTTCGAGCACTTATCGGGTCCATATCGGTTTCATATCGAGTATTAATATTTTGATATTTTATTCAAATTCATCATTCATATATCGGGCACCTGATTTTATTTATTTTTTTTATCGGGTACATATCTTTTATAAATCGGCCATAGTATATCCCTATATATCGGGCACAGTATATCTCTGTGTATCGGGTAGTTTTTTTCCTTCTATCGGATATCTATCGGTACCTTTTATTTATATATATATATATTTTCACTTTTTTTATTTGCAAATAATCATAATTTTAGTTTATTATAAAAAAAGATAATAAAA